CCCCAATTAGCGGCGTCTAACCAATGGATTTTCTGAGCTTTTTAATGTATTCCTCCCCCCTCTGACCATTTTATTTATCCATGACTAGAGGGGAGACATTGACTCAGTGACTCCTGTACCCTTGCAGCCTTGATAAAGCCAGCCGGCAGGAAAACAAGCCAAGCTCTCAAACTCTCACTGCCCACCCCCATCTCCTCCCAAATCTCTGTGATCAGCTGTATGTATTACATGGGGACTAATCTCCATGGGGAGAGAACCTGTGTTTCTGGCTCATGTTCCAAGAGAGCTTCTCTTTTAGGTGTTGGAAAGTCAGACTCACTTGGCTAGGATCTTTTTGGCTTCCTCTGAAACGCACTTGCAGTCTTTCATGCTCCCTCTCCCTTATTACTCAGGCTGCTTGCCCAGATTCAGATCTATTCCAGAAGCTCACAGAGCAAGGCAAGAGGCTCTGAACACATCTGCACAGTCCCCCCAAAGCCTCCTTGACTCACAGAGGCCATAGAACGTGGGATATGAGCTGGGCACCAATCCTGCCTCTCCCACTTACCAACCTTGTGGGCTGGATGAAGTCAATCTGCCTCTCAGAGCCTCGGTTTCTCATTCTGTGAAATGGGACAACAGCCCTTGCTCTACCTTCTCATAGGCTTGTGTTGAGATGTTCAAAGGAGAGTATAAGTGACCGTACCCTGTCTCAGACATGAGATACACTCGTGCCCATCTGTGTCTTGCCAGCCATCGACTGTGAGCTCAGCGAGTGGTCCCAGTGGTCGGAATGTAACAAGTCCTGCGGGAAAGGCCACATGATTCGAACCCGGATGATCCAGATGGAGCCTCAGTTTGGAGGCGCACCCTGCCCAGAGACGGTGCAGCGGAAAAAGTGCCGCGTCCGGAAATGCCGAAACCCATCCATCCAGAAGCTGCGCTGGAGGGAGGCCCGGGAGAGCCGGAGGAGCGAGCAGCTGAGGGAAGAGTCGGACGGGGAGCAGTTCCCGGGTACGGCGCCCCCGTGTGAGGCTGGGGTTCAGGGAGATGTCAAAACGGGGGCAATTAGAGGAGGTCCTGAAGAGCTTGTAGGAGTTTGCCGGTTAGAGAAGGGCATCCCAAGCAGCAGGAATAGTAATTGCAAAGGCACAGAGATACCGAAGAACGTGGTATGTTCAAGCAAAAAATGGGGTGCAGATGGAGCAGAGAACAAGGGGATAGGCAGGAAACCAGGTAGAGTGGTGGGGACCAGACCTTTGAGGTCTAGTGGCCTGCTGAGGATCTGAGACTTGGTTCTGCAAGTGAAGGTTTTAAGCAAAAGAGTGACTTTCACAGACATGTTGAGGGCTTTGGAGGAGGCAAAACAGAGGCATAGAGGCCAGTTAGTAAGTTTAGTTTGTAGCCCAGAAGAGAGATTATGTGCTCCCCTCCTCCAGCATAACTTGACGGAGTTTCAGGATTTAAAAAACTCCCCGCCTGAGGCATCACTGCTGAATAAGCTGGTCCCAGCCACAGCTGCAAACCGCAGGCAAATTCATGAAGCAGTGAGTTGGAGCATCCCTGGCTCAGCCCTGGGTCCAGGCCAATGGACGGTGTCTGGACTCCCTAGAGCGGGTGAGGAAGGTGCAGGCATAAACGCGAAGGTTAAGGGTATGTTGAATTTGACTGTTTTTAAAAGCACAGCTCAAATTACCCTTTTCTTCTCCCTTCCTAAAGGCATCCGCGTAGGGCGGTGAGAAATGCACATAGGAGGAGCATGGCAGTCCCTGACCTCTCCGATAGCAAGCTGTTCACATACCAAAATGTTGTCTGTCGCACATGGTAGTCAGCTGACCAGTCAACACTCACTTAAGCCCCACTGTGCGCCAGGCAGTCACTATGGTCTTCCCCTCCATGAAACTTAGCATAGTATTGAGTGATCATAAACGTGACCGGTTCTACAAAGGAACCCTATGTAGAGCACCAAGGAAACTTTCTTTTTTAAGATCTAATATCTGGGGGTCAGGGAGGGCACGTTTATGTAAGAAAAATAATACCTCAGAGTTTACTTAGTATTTGGGAAGCTAAGTACAGTACTTGGGGAGCAAGTGTAAGAGAAAGTAGCTAATTGCAACTTGAGTAGTTGCTGCATTCACAAACCACCCCAAACAGTAACTATTTAAACAGTCATTTATGAGCATGGTTCTGTGGCTCAGTGACTTGGGCTGGCTCAGCTGGGGCTGGAAGGTCTACACTGGCCTCGCCTGCATTTCTGGGGCCTCAGATAGGGTGGCTGGGGCCTCTCCACATGATCTTTCCATCTGTCTCGCCAGGCTTTCTTACACGGTGGTGGAAGGGTCCCCAGCAGCTTTTCAAGCCATGTTTGCTCCTGTCCCATTAGCCAAAGCAAGTTATATAATCAAGCCCAGATTCAAGAGGTGGAGAAACAGACAGCCCTGGGGTGGGCAGAGCTGCCAAGTATTTGCGGCCTGTCCCTAAGAAGGACTCTAAGCATTAGCTAATTCAACAACTCATTACACACAAGAGCAGAGGAGAAGCCCAGACAACTAGATGGGACAGTTGTTTGCTAGAGTTTGGCGCCCCTGTCCTGTCCCGGTCCGCCGGCCTAACCAGGCTTCCCGTGCCTTCAGGCTGCAGGATGCGCCCGTGGACGGCCTGGTCAGAGTGCGTGAAAATGTGCGGAGGCGGGATTCAGGAGCGCTACATGACCGTCAAGAGGAGGTTCAAGAGCTCCCAGTTCACCAGCTGCAAGGACAAGAAGGAGATCAGAGCCTGCAACGTTCACCCTTGTTAGCAGGCGTCCGAGTGTCTGGGGCCGCGCTCTAGATGCCAGAGTCACCAGTGGCTGGATCGTTTGCTTGCTTGTTTGTTTAAGGCAGTTTCAACCGCGTACGCTAGTTTTCATTTCTTCAGTGTCGTTCGCCCAGTAGTCTTGGGGATGCCAGGGACATCTCTTCTGTACACTTCTTGGTGGGCACAGGCTGAGCAGGGCTCCCTCCTCCTCAGCCGGCCCTGCTCCAGCACAGGCGTGGGTCACGCCCGCCACCCCGCACCAAGTGGCAAGGCGCACCCACCGGGCGCAGGGCAGAGACCCGGCCCCCCGGCGGGGCAGNGCACCCACCGGGCACAGGGCAGAGACCCGGCCCCCCGGAGGGGCAACTGTCGGGAAACTACTCCGTGCCTGGGCCCCGGGGGCCGCAGGAGACAAGCCCCGCGCTCGGGGAGAGATTCCCTCTCTCATGTTCGGCTGCCCTCTCGCAGGCAGCTTTTGCTCACGTGTTTTCACTTAGTGGAGCTGTGGGTCCCTGTCTCCTCGCTCATCAGTGCCTGGGGGGAACAGCTGGTAGGCGTGCGGAGGGGCATTGATGTTGGGTGTCTTTCTTCTTTCACTGAGAAATTCTGAATACGTGTCTCTCTCCTCCTAACACTGGTTCCTGACACCCCAGAGGAAATGATGGCTGCTTCATTTGAATGTAAGGTTGCCAGTTCCTACCCCTGATGCAAAGGTAACTGAGTCTAGAAAGGATTTTTCCCTTGTTTGGGGGTGGTTGTCTTTTGTTTTTTGCCATGATTCTCCTAGGAAGCCAGCCTTATGAAGTTTCCCATACTAGGTCCTCAGTAGAACCAAGGCCAACGCAGCAAATGTGGCCTCGCTAGCAGTCCCCAACCTGAGCTTTTAAAATCTTCCAACGCACATCAAGACTTGTTCAGTTTTCAAACCAGTTCTAACATTTTTCACTCATACAAACATTTTGCTAAGTCTCCCTGCAGCCCACCAAGCCGTTCCTTCAACAAAAATGCTCTCTGTACTTACTTTAAAAGGGGTTTTAGTCATTAAATTTTACATGTAGAAAGAGCTTTTCTTTCTTTTGCAGAAAGAAAAAGTGTTGCAAAGACCTTCAGAAGAAAGATAGAAATGTAGGGAGAAAAGTATGACAGAATCAAGTTGGGCTCTAAAATCTGGAGGGAAGTCAAACCTAGGTCAGCTCTCCACCCTAGGACTCTGGTCCTCGACAAATCCGTAGGGAAGGCCGTGGTTTTCCATCCCCTCCCAGCACTCATAAGCCAACCAAAGTCAGGGAGACTGACTGCCAAGGATTAGTGTAAAAGGACATTTTACTGAGTTGAGTCCAGCAGTTTTTACTCATTCATTTATCGTTAAAATTAGTTTCATTTCTGTTGCAGGTTTTTCATTATGCTTAATCCAAATATGTATCATGGATGAGACGCATACAATGCTTTGGATACACTATTTTAAGAATCTGCATTAAACACATCAGGATATTTCCAAACACAACATATATATGCTACAGCCCTGAATCTGTATTTTTTTCTTTAACCCAAGAAGAGATTGTTCAATAAAAAACCCATTTGGGTCTGTCTTTTGTGTTTTTACACAAATTAAGTGTTCAGAAGCTTGGGTCTGTTTACAACTGTTATCCCCCAGTCATGTTCAGCTAAAGATGCAGGTTTTTGCCCGGCCGGGCGTGGCTCAGCGGCTGAGCATCGACCTAGGACCCAGGAGATCGAGGTTCGATTCCCGGTCAAGGCACATGCCCGGGTTGCGGGCCCGATCCCCAATGACTCTCTCATCATGGGTGTTTCTATCTCCCTCTCCCTCTCCTTTCCTCTCTCTGAAATCAATAAAGATATATAAAAAAATAGAAAAGATGCAGGTTTTGCTCCCTCATTCTGGAGGGGCCACATTTACCCTATCTCTTAAGTTCCTGGAGCTTTGTTTCCAACATTATTGTTGCAGCCCTTAAATAAACCTCTTTCTCCCCACACAAAGGAACATAATATAAAGAAATAAGAGGTTTAATTTTCTACTAGGACCAAAACAAGTTGATAGAGCATCTGCCCACTTTGGCAACATTACTCTCAGCTATCTAGAGGTATACTTACTCCCTACCCATGAAAATCGAAGTTCCTTAGGTAGTGATTCCTAAGTAACTCTAAGGACAAGCCTCCCTAGTGTCTCATGTTCTTATTTGGTTCCTGTTGGGTGCATCTTTAATCCTAATTTTTGAGAGTTAAAACTGGTTAATGGCTGAGAATGGGTACTGTCTTTCTTGTTACGTGTTATTTCTTTTGCTTACAAGGGAAAATTTATAAGAAGCATCAAATCTCTTTTTTACCAAAGTCTTGTGTTAGGTGGTTTATAGTTTTTCTGGCTAACCAATCATTTTGGAAATAAAGACTTTTTACTACAAAAATGAAATTTGTTTGGACTTGCACTTGAGATAGTAAACAGATCGTAAGACACCCAGTAAAACTTGCCATATAAAGAGCAGCTGTAATTGTTGTGTATAAATTTTTACCAGTGCCAAACCAGTTGTACTCCAACTTACATCCACATTTTAAGATTACAATAAGTTCAGAGATACAGTCCCCAGCCAGACACTGGGTCACTCACCTGTCACCTTGCCAATGCATTATTTGAAGGAAAAGTGTTGTAGCAAATGAGAATAAAGCCTGGGCTTCTTCGGACCCAAAATTGAAAAAATTAAAGGTTTTGTGCTGTTTTTAATTTGAACTTTGTGTATTAAACATGTTTCAGGCATACTCAAGTCTGTGTACTTCTTCCAGGAAGTAAGGGAACAATACACATTCTCACATGAAACTTGCCCAGGTCAAGTCCGTGGATGAAATGTCAACACGCAAGAATTCTCCATGTCAAAGCAGTCCTGTGACCTGACAAACAGCCCACACTGTCCTGGCAAGTTCAAAGGAGCTCAATATAAAGTGCTCCAGGACTGTACCGTTTAACCCCTAAATACAACATAGAATCAAGGAAGACACAGACATTCCACTATTTAGTTATGTGGTACCACTAATTTTAATAACAGAGTGATTCATTTTGTTCTTCACTTTGCCCAACGTTAGGAATGAATGAAAATAGTTCCTTTTGAAAATGAGTGAGATGCTCTAACAAACTATAAATAGCAGCTGAATTCGAATGAGCACGAAGATAATTCTTCCTTTTAAATGCTTTGAAATCTATGAAAAAAGGTCTGTACTAAAATGTCAGATTTAAATAACGGCATCCTGCTTTAGACACCCTGTGGTTCAGGTTTTACACAGTCAGGCAGAGGCAGAAGTCCTATGAGGGTTAAGCAAGGGAACCTGGGTTCAACTCTGCTGTGGCCCTGGGGCCAGTTAGCTGACCTTTCGTGGCCTCAGGCTTTCTTACCCTAAAGGATTCCTCTATCCCACCTCCACAATTTAGCCAATTCTCATCTTGAGAGCAAGTCCCGATGCTATCCTGACATGAGTCATGGAAAGCCAGTTTTACCCACCGGTCCCTCGCTTCTCTACAAACCAGTAAGCGCCCACTTTGTGTTCACGCTGGCTTGAGCTGCATGCCTGTCACTAATAACTGAAAATCTCCTGACAAATGAAGTCCACATGCAATACTTCGGCCCAGGTATCATCGGAGCGAAATGCAGTTTCAGGCTTTCCACTTACCATGCTTAATGTCAGCTGGCATGCATTAACATTTTCTCATGTTGCTCTAAATTCTTCAGAAAACTCAGACTATGTTCTTAACTACTTCCTGGCTTTAGAGCTGACTGATAATAGTGCTCATATTTTAAGCAGTTATGTGTTTAAGGAGTTCTCTTTTATTCAAATAATCTTAAGTATTAGCAGAAGGGAAAAGGGCCAACATCCTATTGCAATCTACTGACTCCTTTACAATACTAAGAGTTTATAAAAGTAGAGTGTCTAGTTTTTTTCTAGTATTGGCACGCAGGGCCTACTGCGCGATCCCAGCCTGGAAATTACTAGCCTATCGGGAAAGTCAGGGTCACCTGTGAAAAACACCTGCACCCCGGCTCCGCCACTCCGGCAGCCTGGCGCCACCCGCGAGCCGTGGGTCACCACCTGCAGGGAGGCGCAGAAGCCAAAAGCGAGCACCTAGAAAGTTTCACAACAATGCGACACTGCACGACTTGCAAGAGATGACTTTTTCTAGTAATTCGTTTATCACATTTAGCAGAGGTATCAGTCCAGAAGAGTAAAGGCGAAAAACTTCAAAAACTGGCTCCTCACTGCGGACGGTGAGGGAAGCGGGGGCTACGCCCTCACTCCACGCGGTGCCTCGGCTTCTGGGTCTTCCCAAGGCCTCGGCATCGTCCCGGTAGTTATCCACCTGCAGGCCCTTGTTCCTACATTAGCTGCAATTAAGCGCCCTGCACCGGCTCTTTTTCTTTCGCCTGTAACATGATTGAAGTTAAGTGCCCACCGCCCCGATTTTGCCAGACTTTCTGGGAACAGCTGCGCTGGCTCCCTCCGCTTCCTCGCGCTCCAGTGGCCCGGCCACCTGTAACCTGGCTCTCACGGCCAGAGGGCCAAGACCAGTGCCAGGGTCTCAGCAGCCTGGGTGACTGCCGCTGCCTTTCACTCCCTGGTCCCTGCAGGCTTTCCACCACCCCGACATCCTCAACCGTGAGTCTCCTGGCGATTTCTCCAGGTTCTGGCTGTTCCTCTTGGCTTCTTGCTGCCTCTTAATCTTCTACCCGCAATGCTCATTTTCCCCAAAATTTCTACCCGTGGACCTTCCTCCTGAAACATGCTCTTTCTACTTCAATCCACTCCCAACTCTTCAATCATTAGCTCAAAAAAGGTCAATTCCAAATCTGCCCTTCTAGTCCTAGCCTCTTTTTTTCACTGTTGTTGCTAATCCTCGCCTGAGGATATTTTGTCCATTGATTTTTAGGGAGTAGAGGGAGGAGAGAGAGAAACATCGATGTTGCCTCGCACACGGGCCCCGACTGGGGCTGGGGATCGAACCTGCAACCCAGGTACATGCCCTTGACCAGGAATTGACCCTGAGACCCTTTGGTGTGCGGGCCGGTGCTCTGGGCACTGAGCCACAGCCGCCAGGGCGTCAGCCTCTTCTTTTGAGTTCCAGCCCCATCCCCAAATGCCTCCTAACCCCAAATGTAACCGGCATAATCACCACGTATTTTCATCACTGGAGGGCTGCCTACGCTCCTTGTTCACTCACCGAATGGTTTTCCCACGCATGCCAGAAAACACGGGTGTAGCAGGAAACACGCCAGACATGGCTCTGCCCTCAGAGCTGGCGACACCAAGCTGCAGGCCGGGCAACACACACCCAGCAATCCCGTGGTGAGCGTCACTGAGCAAGCACGGGGCAGTGTGGTGCTAGGGCAGGTAGTCGGGCTCTCAGGGCGTGGCATCCAGGCCAACAGCAAAAGGATACAGTGGCTCATTGGGACACCTGAGGGACACTTGAGTGAAGCAACTTTTTTGGCAAATACTGACAAGGACGTGTGACAGCGCTACAGTGCCGAAGCCACGGGATCAATGCGGCATCTAACGGACCATCCACTTTAATTAACATTCCAATCAACGTGTGTGCCTGGCCGGCTGCTCGGGCCTCGTCCCCTCCTGGCCCGCGGGGGTCCTCACCGGGGCGACAGGAGCCTGAGCGGCGCACTGGCTCGGGAAAATCCAAGGCATCGCGAAGGAAAGCCTCTCACCTCGCGCTCACCCACCTGCCAAGACAGACTCTCAGACTCGGGCCCCAAAAGCGCCGCTGGGGAAAAAGGCTCAGAGCTGCTGAGTTCCCCCAACACACTCCTTCAAGAAACCACCAAAATAACAAGTCATCAAGCAGCATCTTGTGATAACAGATCAATTTTAATTCCAGCACCTGAAGCTATACAAGGGTACGCTTTATAAACCTCACGGGACTGTTGTACACGTTCAATAAAGTGACAACTGTGCAATACCACTTAGTATCTCAAAATCAGGGACATACTTTTGAATTGTTTAAACACAATCCACAGAATTAAAAACAAAATCAGAAGCCATCCACAGTTATACTAATTGTCAATTTAAAGTTTTACATGTACAACTTGATACAGTCAATAGCTAGTAGGGATGTTCCGAGTGATTTCCGATCTTCATCCTGTTGCACGCTACTGGGAAGGTTTCTCGAGTAGCTACGTGACCGGCCAGGGGCCGGGACAACCAGGACCAGAACAGCAAGTAAAGTTCTACCACAGTTCCTGTAGTTTTCACTTTTTTTCTTTGTCAGTTAAAAGTGAACAGTGAGAATTAAATACTTATCTTTACATATACACAAGGTATGCTGTGAAAGCATAGTTGCTTACAAACATATAAAAATACTTGTTAACTAGTTTGATAAGAAAATAATGTATAAAAGTATATAGCAAAAACATTAATCATCTCTGACCCTGGAAAGATCAATTCCATATTTTATATTACAAACAAAAACAGGTTTAGTTTTTTTTTTGAACCCCTTATCCAGAAATACTTAAAAAGGAAGACAGACATAAATTCTTTATTTTCACTCTCAACATGGTTGTGAAAAAAGTAAAATTAGAAAACCAAGACCAGTGAAATGCCTATGTCCAGAATGAGTCCAAATGTTGGCCACACAGAATATTACCATCTTTAAGAGCAGGAATAACAACAAAGGCTTCCAAGCAGTTTTTAGTCTATAAATACAATCGGCATTTCGGCATTTTGGCCACTGGAAAACAAAGGCTGGAGCATCAGTAAAGGTCTGAGATGTCTCACTTGAGAGGATTCGATTCAGTGTATTTAAGGTAACTGAAGGTGACATCGAAAGTTTTAGAGATAGGCAGAAATTCACATTTAAAAAAACTCCCTATGTTTCTATTTAGAGTAACAGTAGGCAATATGATTCCAGAAGTTAAAAGTTATTTCAAAACCTATGACTTCAGCTTGGCAAACAGCTTAGGTTCCAAATCTGATTCATCCCTATTAAAATGTAAGCCCTTAAAAAAGAATGTGTCTGTTTATACAGATGTATCTCTTAAAATAATCAGATAATCTTTGAAGCAGCCTTAGTGTTTCCTTTAAATCTGTCTTGAAGTGACCAGAGGATTAGCTTCACAGGAAGGGTTAGCCAGCTTCTTGGTCTAAGGCTACCACAGTGATCATTTGTCTAAGGCTAGAAAGGTACCAACGTGACGTAAACCGTAAGGAGAGGAGGAGAGGTGAGGGCTTTTCCTGGCAGTTGGTAGCTAAGACTCAAAGGATTCTCAGAAAATAACACAATGGCAGCCTTTCTTGTCTTTTTCTTTCCGCGTTGGTTCTGGTGAAGGAGGACATTCCTGCTCCTGAAACTTCCTGTAAGACAGAAAAATCTACATGTAGTTGCCTTCTTGGTAATATATTATTACAAATGCACGTTATTTTTTGATAAGTCTACTGTACGCGCATAGAGTTTTCAATGTTAAATTTCAACTAGGGAACCAAAGCAGATCTTGGGGTGGGGGCGCCCACAAAGCTTCAACACCAGCATAAGCAGGCTGTCCAAGCTTCATTAATGGGTGAGTCTTAAATCAGATGAGATGCTGAACTCAGTACCTCTAAATTCCCTTCCCAATTTAAAACTCCATGACCCTAAGGTATACTTGAGAATAAACATGCAGCGCTAGAGTACATCAGAAAATCACCTATGCGGTCCTTATCCATGTTCTACCACTTACCAGCTATCAGTCAGTCTTAGACAAGTAGTTGGACCCCTGTGAACCTCCATGTTTTAGCAGGGACTAATAAAACAGTTGCCGTGATGATTAAAGACTGTGTTATTTAAATGCCTAACGGTACCTGGCACTAAAAAGGCCCCCTCACCCCCTCCTCGTTCCTGATTGATGGATGGACATACATAGATTCTGAGGATCAAATTCAAAGACAAAATATTCCAAAAAGGCGGGAAGAATTCTTTTAAGAAGTACAACTTCATCTCTGTGTGTTAAAATACACGTAACATAAAATTCACCATCTTAACCATTTTTAAGTGTCCAGTTCAGTGGCATTTAAATATATTCACAACATTATACAACTATCACCACCATCCATCTCCAGAACTCTTTCATCTCACAAATTCAGACTCTAGATTCATTAAAAAATAACAGCCCTCAGATTTTTAACAAACTACTAAAATAAATACAAAAAAACAAAACAGAAAAACACACCTATAATCTTTACCTCATCCCCCATTAAAGAGAACAGTCTGGCAAGGGGTTAAAGTTACAAGAAGCCCACAGTTCAGATGGCAAGTCAGCTTAGATACACAATTAACACGAGCGCACTCCACACACCTATCTAACCAGCAGAGAAACCAGCAGACCTGGAAAGCAGAGGGTGAAGTGGGGGCCCGACATTGACTCAAAATAACCAAATCAAGCCCTGCCCAGGAAAGCAACTCAATCTTTCTCACACAGGAACTGTACGGTCACTGCAGGAGACCCCACCCGCCACCTCAAGCTTCCTGGGCCCATTACCACCACCTGGCCCACAGGCCTGCAGGCCGGCTAACAGGACTTTCGTAGCCTGCAGAGTACACTTGGTGGCCTGAGGGGACGCAGCATCTCTGACTCGGCTTACTCGCCGCTGGGAGAAGCTGGGTAAGAAGCTGAGCTAAGAGCGTGGGCTCGGGAATCAGAGCTGTGGACTCAAGTCCCAGTTCAGCCATTTAATAAACTGTGAACAAGTTATTTACCTTCTCTGTACCTGTCTCCTCATCTGAAAGTGGGGATAAATGAGTGTTTTTAGCTTACTGGGTTGTGGTGAGGATTAATACAATAATACATGTAAAACACTTAGCCCAGCACCTGGCAGGAACTACTCCGCCGTCAGCGGCCGTCATCACTATCCTCACACCACCTCCACCTTGGAAGTTGCATGGATTCTTTTAAAAATCCCGAAGTGCACTCTCCACTTCAATATGATTAAATTAGGGTTTATATGCATGAAGTACCTAGAATATTACATGTACTTAATTAAACTTTTTAGCACACCACATGTATTCATCCCTAGAATAGAATGACTTCTACATACAATCTCCTTTCTTACTAAAAACATTTAATGGGCTTCTTCCCGGTTGTGGTTTCTAAGAGCACAGTGTGTGATCACCTGTCAAATCCGATAAATTAAAACAAATTTCTACAATGTGTTTTGCTTACCTTATAACTCGGACAAGTTCGTGGAAAGCTTGATCTACATTCATTCTAATCTTTGCGGACGCCTCCATGTAAGTCACCTTCAGCTGTCGTGCCAACTGCTGCCCCTCCTCCTGCGTCACCTGGAATTCCGAGAGTGGCGTGTGAGGCACTGCATTAGCAACCAGGCGGGCTCACCTAGGCCTGGGCCACGCATAATCCCCCCAGGCCAGGCTGGTCCGTCACAGACACGAGACGCTTCACAGCTCGACACACAGGGCAGCCCTGCTCTGCAGAACAACTCGGGAGAACACGCGTGTGACAGGAGCACGACTTCAGTCTAGCGATTACTCGGAAAGTATTCAATACAACAGTGACAAATTCCATCCAGGAAGGTCAAGGACACGCGCAATGAGAGTCTATAACCCTGTCGGGAGGTCAAGGAAAGCGCCCCGGAGAAAGTGATTAAAGCCAGGAACTCAACAAAGAATATGGGGCCACGTGGGGGCGGGCGAGGAAGTGTCCCTGACAAAGGACATGGCGTGCAAGGAGGCCGCTGCGGGGAGCGGGCTCCCCAAGTTCCAGGGCCGGAAGGGGGCCTCGAATGGCTGGATACGGCAAGTCAAAAAGACGACGAGAGGTGCAGGGCGGGAGGAGAGCCTCGGCGGCCCGGGGACTTTCCATCTCTACGTTGCCAGTACCTGGGACACAGGAGACACTCAAGAAAGATGTGGAAAAAGTGGCAGTGAACAGGCTCCCGAGTCCTTCCAATGCCTTCCTCACACCAGAAGGCAAAGGCAGGCAGGCAGGGAGGGTGCCACAGCGGGCGATGCAGAAAACGGCAGGAAGGAGAAGGAATGTGCACCGAATGCAGGAAAGTGCCTTATTTATTTTCAATGCAGGAGGTCAGAATAGCGGTATGTGCCTAAAATTATTAAACTACATTACATTTACATGTGTATCATGGGGACAAAAGGTATGTTTCTCAAAAAAGACTTCTTATTGCTGTCATTACCACAGAAGTAAACACCTCAAGAAAACTAGAAAATAGATATGGGAAAAAAAGAGCGAGTTTAGGAGCCTGTCACCCATAGAGAACCACATGCTTCTGGTTTTTCAATGATGTACCTTTTGCTCTACAAAAATAGGATTGTCACTTTCATGTATTTCTGTTGCACCCTGGAAATAAGCTGAACTCCTATATCTAGGTATTCTTCTGGAACAGGCTTTTCCACACAGACAGCTACGTCACTTGCTAGTAACAGTTTCACGGCCTCCTTTCTGCCGTGGCCTCACCTCACTGCCTAGAACCACCAATACAGTGACACCAGCGGTGTGAGGGGTACTTCTGATTTGTTTCTGATCAAAGCATTTGGTCTTTCACCATTAACTATGCTGTTTGTTATAGGGGTTTATGTACCTACTAACAGCGTGAAGTTTCTTGAAGCAAAAATTGAAAGAACTACAAAGAGAAATGAATATATTCATACTTATAGTCAGAAATTTCAGCACCTCTCTCTCAATAATTGACCGAGCAAGTAAAGAAAAGCAGTAGTGATCAGATGGCCTGAACAACACTATAGAACACCTTATGCTAATTGACATTAGCTGCCTTTTGTCCTCAAGGTAACGAAGTTCCCCACTATTCCAGTTGTACTGTTCCATTTGTAAAGAGTTTTTTTTAATCAGGAATGGATATTGGATTTTGTCAAATGGTTTTTTCTGTATCTATTGAGATCATGATTTTTTTCCTTTTTAGTCTGTTAATATGGTGAATTATAGTAATTGATTTTCACATGTTAGACCAACACTGCGTTCCTGGAATCAGCCCCACTTGAGGAATGGTGCACTGTCCTTTCCATATGTTGTTGAATTGTATTTATTGAAAATGTATTAAGAATTTTTACAACTCTGTTCATGAGAGATGTTGGACTGCAGTTTTGTTTTTTTTTTAATATTTTTTATTGATTTCAGAGAGAGGAGAGGAGAGGGAGAAACATCAATGATGAGAGAGTCACTAATCGGCCGCCTCCTGCACGCCCCCGACTGGGGATCGAGCCCACAACCCGGGCATGTGCCCTGACTGGGAATCGAACCCCAATCGCCTGGATCCTACACGCCCAGCTGGGCAGGTTATTTCTTTTTTCCTGCGTGAGCTTTGGGAGTTTGTGCCTTTCATGGAATATGTCTATTTCATCTACTTGCTGAGTTTATTAGCATAAAGTTTACAGTGTTTCTTCATTATCTTTTAAATATTTACATAGCTATAAGATCTCAAATAATGGTATCTTTCCCATTACTGATGTTGGTAATTTGTGTCTTCTCTCTTTTTTAACATTCTAGCCAGATTTGTCACTTTGGCCTTCTAAAAACCAGTTTGGGGGTTTTATTTTTTTTCTATGGTTTTCTATTTTTTATTTCATTGCTTTCCATTCTTAGCTTTATTATTTCCCTTCTTCTAATTAGTATGTTTTTAACTTGCTCTTTTTCTTTTAGTTTCTTAAGGCAGAAGTCATTGCACCGAGACCTTCCTTTCCTAATAAAAGTACTTAGTCCTATAAACTTTCACTCATCACAATCTAATTCAAATGATATTATACCACTTCATGTATAGTTTATATACTTCTTTTGTGGCTCCCACATCCACCAGCCGCCTCCCCATGCACTGCGACCAGGGGACGAACCTGCAACCCGGGTTATGTGCCCTGACCAGAAATCGAACCGGCAACCTTTCGGTCAACCAATTGAGCCATACCAGCCAGGGCCAGCTATTTTTTCACTTGTGTTAGCATAGTATATTTTAGCCCATCCTATTACTTTTAACCTATTGTGTCTTTACATTTAAAGTAGATTCCTGGTAGGGTCTTGCTTTTTTATTCAATCTGACAAAATGTGCCTTTCAATTGAGGCGTTCACACTATTTTCATTTAATGCAATTGTTGATGTAGTTGAGTCACCTTGAAATCTGCTTCCTGCCCAGAGTATTTGTTCTTTGTCGTAGTTATCCTTCTTCTGCCTTCTTTTGGGTTAACTGTATTTTTTTTTTTTAATGATTCCATTTTATCTCCTATGAAGACTAATGAACTGTATACCTATTATGTTATTTTAATGATTGCTTTAGAGTTTATAATACCCACTTTCATTCGTCACAATCTAATTCAAATGATATTATACCACTTCATGTATAGTTTAAGAACCTTATTACGAGAGTATGTTTCTCCTTTCTGCCTTTTTATTTTTGTTACCTTTTACCTCACAATACATTGTTATTATTTTTGCTTTAAGCATCCAATTATGTTTTAAATATATTTAAATAACAAAAGTAATTTACATCTGCCCACATAATTACCATTTCTGGTGCTCTTTATTTCTTTGTATAGCTCCAGATTTCCATTTGGTATAATTTTTCTTCTTTTTACATTTCCTATAATGCAGGTCTGCTGGTAATGAATTCATTCGCCTTTTGTATATCTGGGAAAAGTAGTCTTTTCACCTTCATTTTTGAAATATATGCTTAGTGGGTACTGAATTCTAGGCATCAGGTGCTTTCTCAGCACTTCAGAGATGTTGCGCCACTGTGTCTGGCTTGCACTGTTTCCTACGAGAAACGATGACGACTGCTGGCACCTTTATCTTTGTTCTCCCGTCATTTTCCAGATTCTCTCTTTATCACGAGTTTTGAACAATTTCATAATATGCCTTGTTGTCATTTTCCTCATACTTCTTGTGCTCAGGGCTGGCTCCGCTTCTTAGATGTACACATTTATGGTTTTTATCAAGTTCAGAAATTTTCCATCCTTTACTTCTGCTGTTAATCTCAGACAAGGTAGGTTTAATTTCTGGAAGTTCTATTTTTGACCTTCGTGCATCTTCCATGTCTCTACTTAACATAGTCTTTTCTCTAGCTTCCTGAACATATGGAGTACGGTTATAGTAACTGTTTTAATGTCTGCGTTCACTAATTTTATCATGTGTGTCGTTTCTGGGTCTCTTTTCATTGCTTTTTTCCTATTGTGAGTCATATTTTCCTGCTTCTTGACACGCCTGGTGATTTTTGAGTGAATGCTTGGGTACTAGATTTCTACCTACTGGGTTCTGGACAGTTTGTATTCCTACAAATACTTTGAGCTTTCCTTTGAGGTTGTTATTTGGAAAGTTTGATCCTGTTAGTTATCCAGTACCAAAACAGCAGGCAGTCCAGGCCTAATTTTGCCCCACTACTGAAACAAAACCCTTCTGAGAACACCACTCCATACCCCAAGGATGACGGGTTTCCCCTCTGGCTGATCTACTATGAATTCTTTCTGACCCTGTTTGAGCTCAAGGTATTGCTCTGCTAACCTTTTCAGGTAGTTTGTTCTCCCAATACTCTAGTCCCCAAATTCACCAACCACAGTGAACTATCAATAGATTATGACATTAATGTGTATATCCATCTAACAAGTACTTTGTAACAATTTCTACCCTGCTGTGTTCCAAAAGGGCAGCAGGCAGGTTTCAAGTTTATGTAATTTTTTAATTTACCACTCCTCTCTTCAAAACACCGTATGTACCATAAGACCTTCGGTTATGAAATATAAATTAATCAAATCAAGCAACCAATTAACATTAACATTAAATAAGGAAACCAAGGAAGAAAAGAAAGCTTCATGAAGCCAAGAATTTAGAAAGAACAATTCTGATTTTTTTAAAAATTGACCACATATAAATTCCTTCCTATAAAAATACCCATGTTGTCACAAATTCTGCTCCTTCTTTTGGGGAGAGGCCTCCCAGTGCTACATTCCTAATGTGTTTCTTACTAATACTTCAAGACTCCAGCACCCAGCAGCTTCTCCCTAGCGCCGATGCTATCTTAGCTCGGCGAGCTCCTGCCCTGCCCTCAGCGGCCCAGGACAAGTGTTAACACCCTATGCTACCCTACAATTTGGGGTCGAGCTCCTGCCCCGCCCCGCAGCGGCCCGGGACAAGTGTTAACACACTATGCTACGCTACAATTTGGGGTCTTGTTTTCTCTTTCCCCTGCCATTATGTCCTCTGAAGAGAAGAGGCTTACTTGTCTTTGTAAATCTAGGGCCTGGGAGAGTACAGAGCAGTTAACTAAATAACATGTGTTAATGAATTGACCAATAAAGTAAGTACA